ACATGCAGGCAATACACTCATACACACAAAATAAAAATAATAAATAAAAAATATTTTAAAAAAACCAAAAACATTCTAGGGCTAGGGAGAGAAGTCAGTGGTAGAGCACTTGCTTAGCATTCCTGTCACCCTAGGTTCAATCTCCACCGGCACTGAAAAATAAAGCCAGGTGTGGGGTGGGGCACACCTGTAATTACTGCACTTGGGAGAGAGGCAGGAAGAGCAAGAGCTCAAGGTCAGACTCTACTATACAAGATCAAGACTAGCCAGGGTTACATGAGACCCTGTCTCAAAAAAATTCTATCTGGGCTTGGTGGCACATGCCTTTAATCCCAGCACTCAGGAGGCAGAAGCAGGTGGATCTCTGTGAGTTGGAGGCCAGCCTGGTCTACATGGTGAGTTCCAGGCCAGTCCGGGCTACATAGTGAGACTCCGTCTCAACAACAACAAATCTAAAATAGGGCTAGCAAGATGGCTCAGTGGGTAATGATGATTTTCTCATAAGCCCAACAACCTGAGTTCAAACCCCAGAACCCACACAAAGGTGGAGGGAGAGAACAGACCCCACAAAGTTGTCCTCTGACTTCCACACATATGCTATGGCTTATGTGCCCAAACACCAACTTTTTTGGGGGGGGTCTCTTTGAGACAGGTCTCCCCGTATCCCAGCTGGCATGAAACTCACTACGTAGACCAGTCTGACCTCGAACTGCCTCTGTCTCCCAAGTGCTGGCATTAAAGGTATGCACCACCATGCCTGGCTACATAAACATTTTTTAAAAGGCGGCTGGTGGCCGGCCATGGTGGTGCGCACCTTTAATTCCAGGGAGGCAGAGGCAGGCGGATATCTGTGAGTTCAAGGGGTCAGTGTCATCCACAGGGATTGCATGACACGGGTGCACTTACCTACATGCAGACAATACACACCAAAAAAAAAAATTTAAAAAAAATAATAAATAAATAAATAAATAAATAAATAAAAGGGGGCTGGAGAAGAGGCTGGAGAGATGGCTCAATGGTTAAAAGCAATGGCTGCCCTTGCAGAGGACCGAGGTTCCATTCCCAGTACCTATATGGCAGCCAACAACCATCCCTAACTCCAGTTCCTGGGGATCCAACACCCTTTTCTGACCTCCTTGGGCATTGTACACACACAGTACACTTACATACATGCAGACAAAACACTCATAAAATATAAATAAAATAAAAATAATTCAAATTTCACCCTCTCTCTTCCTAGCTATGTGCTCCTAGGAGAGTCATTTTGATTCTGAGTTTCAACTTTCCCACTTGGTTTTTAAAATTTTTTTTATTACATTTTGAGTTTATTTATTGTGTGTATGTGTGTAGGCATGACATTTGTGGAGGTCAGAGGACAGCTTGCAAGAGTTGGATCTTTCCTTCCATCATGTGGATCCCAGGGCTTGAACTCAGGTTGTCAGGCTTGGGGGCAAGCACCTTTACCTGCTGAGCCATCTTGCTGGCCCTCAGTTTTCCCACATGTAAAACAGGTATAGCTATAATTCTCTCATTTAGTTGATAAATGGTAAAACAGGTCAATATTTGGAAGGTGTTCAGAACTATGCCTGATATATAAGTAGGCCTCTTTTGTTATTTGTTACATTTTGTTAAATATATAAATAAATAAGGCCTTTCTACTAGCCCTCTTCTCAGACTTCTGAGAATTAGCTGAGCTATATGGGAACCGATCCTAGTCATCTTCACTCATTCATTCAGTAAATATTGCTTTTGTTTTTTCTGTTTCTTTGTTTTGTTTTTCTGAGACAGGATCAACTCACAGAGATCTCCCTACCTCTGCATCTCAAGTACTGGGATGAAAGGTACGTGCCACCATGCCAGGCCTGTTTGTTTTTGAGACAGGGTCTCAAGTAGCCCAGGCTAACTTTGAACTGGCTATGTAGCTAAGGATGACCTTGAACTTCAGATCTTTCTGTCTCTACTTCCCAAGTACTGGGTTTATAGGCATGTGCTGTAACACCTGGTTTATGGGGTGCTGGGAATCAAACCCAGGGCTTTGTGCATGCTAGGCAGACACTGTATCAACTGAGTTACAGCCCCTTTTTCTCATTTTTTAAATATTTTATTTTATTTATTATTTTTATTTTATGTGTATGCCTGTATTGCCTGTATGTAGGTTAGTGCACCCATGTCGTGCAATGCCCACAGAGGACAGAGACGCTGTTGGATCCCCTGGAACTGGAGTCATGGACAGTTGTTAGCTGCATGTGGGTGCTGGGATTCGAACCTGTGTCTTCTGCAAGAACAGTCTGTATTCTTAACTGCTGACCCATCTCTCCAGCCCTTTTTCTCATTTTTTAAAATACGGTATGATGTAGCCCAGGATGACCTCAGATTCCTTTCATAGCCAAGGATGACCTTGAATTCCTGATCTTCCTGCCTCCACCTCCCAAGTGCTGGGATTGCAGATGTGCCACATGGCACCCTGTAGTAAACCTCCCTTAAGCAGCTGTGTTCCAGGCACTAGCCATTCAGTGACAAGGACCACAGGCGTGGCCTTGCCCTCCTGGAGACCTGTTCTAAGTAAGGGCCTTGGTCACTACACACTCTGTGGGCCCACCCCAAGCCCACAGAACCAATTTAGCACGATCCCCAAGCGATTAGTGCCAGTCACCCTGGGCTGGGAGGGGGGTCTCCAGAACACCCCATGTGGGGACACTTCCAATAGGGGTGACTGGGGGTAGCTCAGAAGCCAAGCTGCACCTCAGCTTCCCAATGAAATTCTCCCCTCCCCTTGACAGGTTGGTGGGGTCACTGGAGATGAGGTAGTTGGCTGTCTTGCTCCGTTTACGTTTCCTGCCAGCCAGGAGAAACACCTACAAAGGGGACAGATGTGACAGGGTGAGGCAGAGGATGGAGCTGGGGGACCAGCGTGTCCTGATTGTCCCGAGTGCATCCTGACTCCTACACCCCTCAACCCTTTGCTCCCACCTTCTTCTCCGTGTCCAGATGTAGGAAGTAGGAAGGATACATTCCACGATCCATCCCCTTCTTGTCCCGCGTCAGCCGGCAGCGCACTGCCCGGCCCTGGGGCGCCGGCTGCAGCACAAACTCCCGGGGTTCACCCACCTCCAAAGGGGGAGATGGGGTCCTCTCTTCCCTCTGTGTAGGAGGAGGGTGCATCTGCCAGGGTACCCCTCTCCCCCATTTCCATCTCTACACCCCAGGCAGGGCAAGCCACCACTCACCACTTTCTGCAAGAACAGAGCCAGGTCTAGCACTGGAGACTGGAAGCTGAGGCACCCCGGTCCCCCACATCCCCAGCAGCCCAGCCCCATAGTAGAAGGTTCAGGAACTCTGTGATTTAGTATAAGTATTTAGCTGGAGTCAAGAGCCGAGACGGTCAGGGTTCAAATCCAGGTTCAATCACTAAGAGTCTGTCACTGGTTATGGCTTTCTTGTGTTCCTTTTCAATTTTTATTTATGCATATGAGTTTTTTGCCTGCAGTATGTAAGTGCACCGTGTGCTTGTGGTACCCTGGAAGGTCATAAGAGGGGGTTTGGATCCCTGGAACTGGAGTTATGGATGGCTATTAGCCTCCATGTGGGTGCTGGGACCCAAACCTGGGTCCTCTGCAAGAGCCCCTTGTATTTTTGCTGTTGTTTTGTTTGGTTGTTTTTTTGTTTCTTGTTTTTGCTTTTTTGAGACTAGGTTTTTTCATGTAGTCTGGGCTGGCTAGCTTCAAACTCACTATGTTGTGGAGGCTGGACTTAAACTCCTGATCCTTCATCTCTCCCTCCTAAGTGCTCGGGTGACAGGCGTGAGCCACTGTTCCTGGCCTTTTTTGTTTTGTTTTCTTTTCTTTTTTTTTTTTTTTTTAAATCTTTTTGAGCCAGGGACTCCCTGTAGCCCCAGCTGGTCTAGAACTCACTATGTAGACCAGGTTGACCTTGAATTCACCAGGCTGACCTGCCTCTGCCTCCCGAGTGCTGGGACTAAAAGTGTGTGCCACCATGCCCAGCCTCCTGGCTTTTTTACTATTGTTATTTGTGTGCCTGCATGTGTCTAAGTGCACCCGTGTCATGCAATGCCCACAGAGGTCAGAAATGGGCTTTAAATTCCCTTGGAACTGGAGTTATGGATGGTTGTTAGCTGCCATGTGGGTGCTGGGACTCAAACCCAGGTCCTCTGCTAAAATAGCCAGTGCTCTCAACCACTGAGCCAGCTCTCCAGCCCCTTGTGGTGTTTTGCTTTTTTTTTTTTTCCATCCTTTTTGAGACAGGTTCTCCCTGTAGCCCCTCTGTCCTGGAACTCATTATGTAGACCAGGCTGGCCTCAAACTCACAGAGATCTGCCTGCCTCTGTCTCCCCAGTGCTGGGATCAAAGGCGTGTACCACCATGCCTGACCCTTGTGGGGTTTTTTTGAGATGGAGTCTCACTATACACAGGCTGGCCTCAAACTTGCTCTGTAGCTCGAATTGGCCTTACTGAAAACTTCTTCCCTCAACTCTCAAGTGATAGGAGTATGGGTGTGTATCATGCCTGGCTTTCCGTCCTCATTAACCCACTGGGGTGGCTGGCCCATTTGTATGGAAGTTGGGGTCACATCATACCAGTAGGCAAGGTCTCTATGAAGGGGAAGCAAGATCTCCAGCCAACAACTGTGACTGAGCCACTTTGGACATAGGCTGACTATTTCTAGCAAGTCTTTCCCGATGACCCACTGAGATCACATTTAGGTGTCCCTAGAATTCTGACTCCTAGAAACTGAGTAGGAAAACACACATTATTTGAAGGCACCGAAGCTCTTTGTTACACAGCAAGTCATAGCTGACTCATGAATATGTCTGCTCCTGGAAAATTTCCTAGGAACTCGTTGGATATAGAAGGCACAAGGTGAGACTGGATGGCCTTTGTCCTGGTGTTCTGTCCCTAACAGGAAGGGAGCTAAGACCCCAGGCCATTGGGAGAAAATAGCCTACCATGCTGGGGGTGGTTCAGCCCCTGAGGCTCTGCCTTATCTGTGTGCACTGAGCAGCCCTGGTGTGCTATGGCCCTGTCATTTCTACACCATGTGTGAGGTGAGGCACAGCCTGGGGCCCTCGGTCAAGGGGCAAATGACCATTTTGCCTCCATTCTAGCCAGCTTCACAAGAAGTTTAGGAAACTCAAGACTATGTCTGGAATGTGAGGTAGAAAAAGTCGGCGCTTATTCAAACATTTCCACAGCTGTGAATTTTGAAGGCCTACTGTATTAAAGGCTATTCTCCCCTAGGACACCATACGGGGCCTTGCAATTTTTACATCAGCATCTGCTGATCTTGGTTAATGTGAATCAGCCCCCCAAGACCTGGCACAAACTAATAAACTCACAGAGCTCAGACCAGGGCCCATGTGTTGCTCGATCAGCTGGTGGAAATGTGTTCCTCATAGACCATCACTTTCAGTGAGGCCTCTCCAGATTGTGTGTGCCTGATCGTCTCTGGGTAGGGACAATAGTCAAAATACTTAGCAATGTGTCTCAATTGTGTATAATGTCTAATTAGGATGGGCACTGTAGACTTAGGGGACGATTCTGAGGCCTTCAGGAGCCTGGGATTAAGTGCTTTTGTTTCATTTTGTTTTTTGAAACAGGATCTCAAGTAGCCCAGGTTGGTCTCAGGTTGCCTATGTAGCTGAGGCTGGCCTTGAACTCCTGATCCTGTTGCCTCCACCTCTCACATACTGGGATTATAGGCATGTGCACACACACAACTAGAGGTTAACTGTTTAGATCTGGGAGGCCTGATCCTGTTGCCTCCACCTCTCACATACTGGGATTATAGGCATGTGCACACACACAACTAGAGGTTAACTGTTTAGATCTGGGAGGCTGGAGTCTTGGGGGTGAACACAGAACAACAGAATGGAAATATTTTAACAAGTGCTCTGGGTAGCTGACTACCAGCCAGTCAATGTCCCCAAAGATGTGTAAAATGGACCCCTCTGAAGACAATCACGGTGACAGATGTAATTCTAGCACTAAGGAGATTCAGGCAGGAGGAACCGGAGTTTCAGGCCAGCCTGGGCTACATAGCAAGACCTTATCTCAACCTTTTACCCCCCCCCAACATAAATAAAATAAAATGACTCAGAGGTTAAGAGCACTGGCTGTTCTTGCAGAGGACTCTGGTTTGGTTACCAGCACCCACATGGCAGCTAAGAACCATCTGTATCCCCAGTTCCAAGTGATAAAATGCCCTCTTCTGGCCTCTTCAGGCATTGCATACATGAGTGCATGTACATACATGGCAGACAAAAATGCTCAGCCACATAAAAATAAATCAATCAAAAAATAATAAGAGAAAATAAAACAGGTCCCTGCCGGGGCATAATAGCGCACGCCTTTAACCCCAGCACTCGGGAGGCAGAGGCAGGTGGGTCTCTGTGAGTTCAAGGCCAGCCTCATCTACATAGTGAGTTCCAGGCCACCTGGGGCTACAGGGAGACCCTGTCTCAAAAAGATCCCCAAAAATAAATAAATAAAACAGTGCCCCTCTGCCTGTGTGCTCAGCCTCTCTGGTACTTTAAGGTTTGTGATGTCACTGGATGGCTGTGGAGGGACATCTCCCACTGTGGCTGATCGTTATATTGCAGAGGGGAGGCCTTGGTATCAGAGTGCACAAGGTCCATGTGTGGCCAGTCCTAGCCTGGCCAATGCCCCTTCTGTTTCCATAAGCCTGGTGTGCCTGGCCTTTGTACCCTGTCATAGAGGGAGCCAAGTCTTAACTGCCAAAGTGGTGTAGCCCACAAGGCACACACTCATCACCAAGTACAGGGAGGCCCTTGCCCCTCTGGGTCCCCACCTTTTTGCCTTTTCCTTTCGCTTTGCCCTTCTGGTTGCTGTTCTTGGTCACAGCAGCTCCTTCCTCCTCCTTCTGTTCCTCCTCCTCCTTCTCTTCCTCTGAGCCTTTGGGGAGGCCTGAGTATGCTGGTGAAAAGAATATAGAGCCCTCACCCTGGTTGGCCAGGTGTTCCCAACACCCTCATCTCCCTTAAATCTTTTCCACAGTCACAAAGAGATCAACCCATGTTCCCATCAGAGCCTCAGAGAGGCTAAGACACCTGCCCGGGGCCACGCAACTGTCCAGCTCTGAGACTCAATGCTCATCCTGTACTGAACGGAGCATTCCCTCCAGCCACCCACCTTTCTTCTTAATGGCCTTCTCAGCTGGGCCACCTTCCTTCACCAGAAACATGGCTGCTGGAACTTTCTTCTTCACTTCTGCTGGCCTCCCGGAAGGGGCCTTGTCAGTCTCCCCAGCCCCTGAAGAGAGGATATTGAATAAAATGGTTAGGGTCCCACCACACTGAGTTTCCCAGTCCCCTCTGCCCATCGGGTTCAGCTTTCTTTTCTTTTCTCTCTCTCTCTTTTTTTTTTTTTTTTTGGTTTTTTTGAGACAGGGTCTCCCTGTAGCCCCAGCTGGCCTGGCACTCACTATGTAGACCAGGCTGTCCTAGAACTCACAGAGATCTGCCTGCCTCTGCCTTCCAAGTGCTGGGACTAAAGGTGAGCGCCACCACACCCGGCTAAGGGTAGCTGAAGAGGTAGCACTCATTTGTGGTGCTGGGACTCAAACCTTTAGCGTTCGGTTATTAGCCTCAGCCTTTAACAGCTGTGCTATCCCTCCAACCCTCACCTTTCTTTGCCTTTTTTGTCTTGGTCCCCTCCCCGGCTTCTTTCTTCTTGGTGCGCAGGGGTTTCCGAGGGGGGTCAGGGCTCCCCAGGTCCCCTGGAAGTAGGAGATGGGGGGAGGGGGGGAGTCAAGCAAGGCTGAGACTCACCTTCCAACCCCCTCATCCTCCCTTTAGTCCCCAGGGACTGAAGGCCTGATGAGATTTCAGCTGTAAAACCATCTGTTAGTCTTGTGTTAGTTTGTCCTGAGTCCAGAAAAGAGCTGGATCTTAGGGCTGGAGAGATGGTTCAGTGGTTAAAAGTGCTTGCTGCTCTAACAAAGGACTGGAGTTTGGTTTCCAGCACTCATATAGGGTGGTTCACAACGGCCTACAACTCTAGTTCCAGGGGACCCAACACCCTCTTCTGACCTCCATGGGTACCCGGAACCATGTGGCACATACTCACACAGACACATAAATAAAAAGAAATTAATTTTTTTGTTTTATTTTTATATTATGTGTATGAATGTTTGGCCTGCATGTATTGTGTTGTGTAATGCCCTTGGAGGCCGGAAGAGGGTGTTGAATCCCCTGGAACTGCAGTTATGGACGTTATTAGCTACCATGTGGGTGCTGGGAACCCCATCAGGGTCCTCTGCAAGACCAGCTAGTGCTCTTAACCACTGAGCCATTTCTCCAGTTCCCCCCACACATTTTGACTAGATGTTTCCGGGCAGGTACCCAGGCCTGGAACCATCACTGAATTTATTCACAGACTTCTTTTTATTTTAATTGATTTTATAAAAATCATAACACTAAGCCAGGCGGGGTGGCGCATGCCTTTAATCCCAGCACTTAGGAGGCTCTTTGTGAGTTCGAGGCCAGCGTGGTCTACATAGTGAGTTCCATCCAGGACAGCTGGGGCTACAGGGAGACCCTGTCTCAAAAAGACGAAAAAAAAAAAAAAAAATCATAACACTAATCATGTTGAGTCATAGCCAAAGTCACAAGGAAATCAAAATCCTTTTCTTCACTGAGCACCCTGTGGGTGGCATGAGGGGCTGAAGGTGGTACTGATTCCCCTTAGGGACCATTGGTGAGTAGAAATGGTCAGAGGAAGGACAGAGCCTCTGCACAAGGCTTAAGATTCTGGTGAGCTTTGGGGTCTCAGCTGCCTGCAAAAAGAGGCTCCCTGACCCTCGGGGGAACTCTTTCTGCCTGCCTGTGGGCTCCCTGCACCCACCTCCTGGGCCCTGGGCCTGGGCCTTCCTCTCCTTTTCCTTGAGTGGCTTTTTGGTAGGCAGAGGACTTCCCTTCTCTTTGTCCTCCTCCTGGTCGTTGTCAGCCAGGTGGTCATCCTCTTCCTCCTCCTCTTCCTCTTCCTCTGTAGATAACATTCCTCATAAGGTGGGCTACAACTACCTAGCTCCTGGGGTGGGGGGCAGCTGCTGGGGGAGTGGTAGAGGGTCACCCCTTTCTGGAACAGGGCCTGGGACCTTCTGGTACCTTCCTGCTGTGGGCTGCTCAGGGGAGGCACCCTGTGCCAGGAACAGCCCCTCTGCAGATCTTTCTGTCACCCCCATCACCCTCCCTTTTGACCCTCCTCCCTGAGTTTTCCCTTTCCCCTGTCCTTGTCATCCATCTGAGCTGCCTCTGACTCCAGGCTGGACCTCAAGGCAATACCTTGACCCCGGTGCCTCCCGTTTCCCCAGATGTGAAATGGGAAAAGAGCAAGTGACCCCTCGCTGCCGGCAGGCTGGGGCCTTGGCACCCCCTGGGCACCTGCTGCCACCCCTCGCTCCAGAGCCTCGCTCACCGTCTTTCGGGTCTGGGGCATGGGCAACCAGAAAGGTTTCCCGGGTGTCGAGCTTCTTGGCCTCAGGGTCCCGGAGGAACTTGGCATAGACAGCGTGAGCTGCGCGGGCCTGGGCGGGGTCGGCGGGGGGCTCCCCACGTGGCCTCCTGCGTGCTACGCGGGAGGGGCTCAGTAGGGTCCTCCCTGGGAGCCCCCCGCTGGCAGCATGCCCCTTCCCCCATCCCGAGCACCCCGGGGTGCCCTCACCCACCTCCAGCTCTATGAGGCTTGGATTCTGGAGACTCGGGGATCTTCTTTTTCCTTAACTTCTGTCCTTGGGTGGGTCGCTACACAATGGGGGTTCAGGGGGAGAGAAAGAAGCAAGGGGGGGGCTCCGAGGCTTCCATCCCCCTCTAATCCCTTGAGCCTCCAGAAATAGTCTCAGATTATCCCCAGGGGCGCTGCAACCCCTTGTTGGGGTAAGGGGATGGCCCCTTCATGGTGCAACCATGGCCACTTCCAAGGCCCAGAGCCCCCCAAGTCCCCCTGGGCACCCTAAGTCCTAAACCCTCTTTTCTTCCCCCAAGCACACTAGGCTTGCCTAGTTGCAGACTCTAGTGAACGGACGCACCCCACCCCACCCCGGAGCACACAGTGGGGCATCTTTGTGCCTCCTTTCCAAGTGGGGTGACATACCTGCTTGGGGCGCCTCTGGGGCTCAGGGCTCTGCAGGTCCTCCTCATGTCCGCTGAGGGTACAAAGGGGCCAGAGAGTCTCCTCCTTGCTGTGACCCCACGCCCCACCACCGCAACACCTGGGCCCTGGGGTTCAGGTACGGTGCTGTTGGGGCGCCCACCTGTCTGAGGCCCACACCTCCCGGAGGGTCTCGTCCTGCAGAGGCATGGTGTCTTCTGCTGGCTCCTCTCGGGGCACCTCTCTCCTGTGCCCTGCAGCTCCCCACCTCCTCTCCCCAGGCGCTAATCCCCGCTCAGCTTCTGCACACCTGCAGGCTCTGGGTGGAGCTGACACCCAGAGCCCATTGACCCAGGCACCTATTAAGGGTCTGGACCCCCCCCCCCCCCAACAACAGCCTAAGGGACAGGGAACCAGTTTCTACCCCATCAGAATTTGAGTGGTCAGGGGGTGGGAGAGGAAAATGCTAGAGCAGATTATGTTTTGCTGAGATGATCTCCGGGTAGCCCAGGCTGGCTTCCAGCTTACTGTGAGTCTGAAGCTAGCCTTGAACTCCTGATCCTCCACCTTCAGCCCCCAAGTGCTATATTACAGACTCACACCAGCTCTGTGCTTATCTTTATTTCTGTTTTAAAAGAATTGGTGCTGGAGAGATGGCTCAGTGTTTAAGAGCACTTGCTGCTCTTTCAGACAACCTGAGTTCAGTTCTCAGCACCCACATGGCAGCTAACAACCATCCTTAACTCTAGTTCCAAGGGGTTCAATGCCCCCTTCTGGTATCCTCAGGTATTGCCTGACTCAGGTGAACTTACGTACATTCAGGCAAACACTCATACACATACAATTAAACAATTTTAAATTATAAAAAGAACTAAAGTCATTGAGTGTGGTAGCCTCACTTTTAATCCCCATGCTCAGGGGGCAGAGGCAGACAGATCTTTGTAAGACTGAGGTCAGCCTGGTCTACATTTCCAGTTCCAGACCAGTTGGTGCTACAGGGAGACCCTGTCTCAACAAAACAAAGCAAAACAAAACAAAACCAGAAGATAATAAAATAAAATAAATCTTAACAAAACAAAAACAAAAACTGGCAAAACAAAATCAAGCAGATAGGATTTATTAATACTTAATATATGGTTGACAGAAGTATATGCATATAATTTACAAAGAAATGTGGCCAACTAGGTTATATACTTTAGTTTTTTGTCGTTGTTGTTGTTGTTTTTTTGTTTTTTTTGTTTTTGTTTTTTTTGGTCTTTTTGAGACAGGGTCTCCCTGTAGCCCCAGCTGGCCTGGAACTCACTATGTAGACCAGGCTGGCCTTGAACCCACAGAGATCCGCCTCCCTCTGCCTCCTGAGTGCTGGGATTAAAGGTGTGTGCCACCACACCGGGCCTTAAATTTTTAAATTTATTTTTATGTGTATGAGTGTTTTGCCTGCATGTATCTAAGTGCACTTGAGCATGCAATGCCCCTGGAGGCCAGAAGAGGGCATGGGATCACCTGGAACTGGAGTTACCTACAGTTGTTAGCCAACATGTGGGTGCTAGGGACTGATTCTGGGTCCTCTGCAAGAGCAACAAATGCTCTTAATCATTGAGTCATCTCTTCAGACCTAATTTTGAATATTGCAGAAGATAAATCATTGCTGGGCTTGGGGACACATGCCTATAATTCCAGTACTCAGAAGGCTGAGGCAGAAAGATCACAAATTTGAGGACAGCCTGGGCTACAAAGATGCTCTGCCATCTCAGAAAAGCAATACCAACAAACTGGCTGTACAAGCCTTTAATCCCAGCACTCAGGAGGAGAGGCATGCCGCAGTGTTCCAAACTAATCAGAGCTACCGTTGTGACTCCAATTCCAGGGGAATCCATAGCCTCCTCTGGCCTCCATGAGTTTGCACACACGTGGTACACTTACATGTAGGCAAAATGCTCAAACACATAAAATGAAAATAAATAAATAAAAATTAAGAAAAAAAAATGGACTGGAGAGATGGCTCAGCAGTTAAGAGTCTCTCTGCTCTTGTAGAGGATCTGGGTTCAGTTTCCAGCACCCACATGGTGACTAACAATCATCCATAACTTCAGTTCCAGGAAAATTTGACACCCCCTTCTGACATCCATGGGCATTGCATTGACATGGGTGCACTTACATACATGCAGGCAATACACTCATGCACATAGAAATAATAAATATTTAAAAAAACAAGAGTTGGGTATGATGGCACATGTCTTTAATTCCAGCATTCAGAAGACAGAGGCAGGTAGATCTCTACAAATTCAAGGCCAGCTTGATCTACATAGGAAGTTCCAGGTTAGCCAGGACTAAACAGTAAGACCCTGTCTCAAACAGAACAACAACAAAAACCCCAAGTACCCTAAAACCAAATAAAAGCTAGCAAGATGGCTCAGTGGGTAAAGGTGCTTGCTGCCAAGTCTAATGACCCGTATTCAACCCCCAAAACACACACGGTGAAAACAGAGATCTGACTCATGCAAGCTGTCCTCTGACCTCCACATGTGCACTGAGGCACGCATGTGTGGACAGACAGACACACACACACACATACACACAAAATAAATAAATAAATGTAATTAAAAATAAAGATGAAAACAAATAATTATGCCAGTCCTTCTAGAGTAGAACGAATTGGAATTTCTTCCCTGTGAACACCAAGTTTCAGTCCCTTAGGAAATCAGGGCAGCCTAAGGGTTGGTGGCTTGGGGTGGCGTCAGGAGGGGACATCAGGAAAAATGCTCAGATTTGGGTCAGGGGTGACTTTAGGATTTTGAGTTAAGATCTGGCTAAGCCGAGCGTCCAGGGTAAGGATGAGAGTCAGGTCTGGAACAAAGCTAAGCTCCAGGTCCTTTGATCTGCCTCCTGTACTCTAGGCTGGAGGACAAACAGGCTCCGGCTCTATAATTATACCTTGTTTTGAACTCAAAGGCACATTTTTCAACCGGATCACTGGCGTTAGTCACCAGACCCAATCCACATGAATTTAAGCTGCTTTCTAAAATTAAATTCACTTTCAGAAAACTTACCTGGCCCTCCCAGTTCATTCCTGTGTCTCAGAGAGGTTAAGTCATTTGACTGAAGCCACGCAGCAGGTGCTTAGTGGAGCAACAGCATTGGCAAAGCACCTATTATGTGTACTGTCTTTTCTTGTGGTACTTCTAGTCCTTTGGAAATTTTGGCAGGTCAGTAGACACGTGACCTTGCCCCTCTGTGGCTCTGCTTTTTAGCACGACTGTTAACAGCACCTAACTTTGTAGAATTTTAAGAATTCAGGGCTGGAGAGATGGCTCAGCAGTTAAGAACACTAGCTGTTCTTGCAGGAGACCCAGGTTCGAATCCCAGCACCCACATGGCAGCTAACAACTGTCTATAACTCCTGTTCTAGGGGATCTGACACCTTCTTCTGTCCTCTGAGGGCATTGCACGACACCAGTGCACTTACCTACATGCAGGCAATACACACATACATACAAAATAAAAATAATAAATAAAATATTTTAAAAAAAGAATTTGGGGCTGGAGAGATGGCCCAGTGGTTAAGAATACTGGCTACTCTTACAGAGGACCTGGGTTCAATTCCCAGCACCCACATGGCTGCCCACAACTTCCTGTAACTCCAGTTCCAGGGGAATCCAAAAGCCTTCTTTTGATCTCCATGGCATTGCACGACATGAGTGCACTTACATACATGCAGGCAATAGACTCATACACATAAAATAAATAAATAAATATTTTTAAAAAAATTAAAAAACAGGGGGCTGGAGAGGTGGCTCAGCAGTTGAGCACTGACTGCTCTTGCAGAGGACCTGGGTTTGATTCCCAGCACCCACATGGTGGCTACAAACCATCCTTAACTCCAGTTCCAGGGGAATCGGAAACTCTCTTCTGACCTCCGCAGCATTGCACAGCACGGGTGCACTCACATACATGCAGGCAATACATGCATATACATAAAATAAAAATAATAAAGAAAATATTTTAAAAAAGACAAGCACCAGCTGCAGATGTTGGACTCTTCCCCAGTCACAGCTTGACGGGGCAAACGACACCAGGTCCAAGGGCTATTCATAGGTTTGAAGGGGTATACAGATTTCCTTTTCTCATTTTCCTCATAGGGTTCTTCAGGTCTGAAAGGCAGCAGAGGACACAGGGGAGAGGATGGAGACCCTGTAAGTTTTTATGACTCACCTTCCTGAATCCACACTTACTAAATTTCTTTTTTGTGAAAAGCTTTATGGGGTAGGTGGAGGCTTATGTCTCTCTCTCTTTATTTATTTATTTATTTATTTTTATTTATTTATTTATTTGAGCTGAGGACTGAACCCAGGGCCTTGCATTTGCTAGGAAAGCACTCTACACTGAGCTAAATCCCCAACCCCCCTGGTAGAGATATAACCTTCATGTCATAGATAAGGAAACTGAAACACAGGTCCCCACCAGACTCAACTTCAGGCTCCGTGGCTCTGAGAGGTGGAGGAAGCCTCAAGTGGGGCTGCAGCTGAGTCTTCATCCAGAGATAGGCCTAGAGTTGTGCCGCACACATCCCTGCTGGGTACCTTGGGCAATCCTTCCCCTCCCTACAGCTTCTCCATCTGTGAATTGTGTTTGCATCTTGGAAGGATCCTTTTGTCTGGGTGGGCTTAACAAACGCTGGGGTGCAGTCGTAAAAGATGCTGAACATAGTCTTGCAAGACAGAAAACACAGAAAGTACAGCTGGGCTCTGCAGAGGTGATTTCCCAGTGACTGGTCCCCAAGAGAAAACTGAGGTTCTCTCAGTGAACCCCAGGATTTGTGGCATGGAGAGGATGGCACCCAGGCCTGGCTGGCTGTATCCAGCCCCACCCTGGCCCACAGGTGGCCTCCTTGATTGTTGAAGTGAACCTTGGGAAGTGGCAGGTGTGGAGAGAGGGACCCATGCCCCGTGTTTGCCCTGGGGGCGGGGGCAGCTCTGAACCTGGGCAGTGAGAGTTGTGATATCACCACTCAGGCTCCTCTGGAAAGTAGAACATGGGCTAGGAATAGGACACAGCAGATAGAATGTTTGCCTAGCACACACCAATCCCTGTATAAACCTAGTGTGGGGGCACATACCAGTAATCCTAACTCTCAGGAGGCAGAGGCAGGAGGATCAGAAGTTCAAGACCATCCTAAGTTACATGGTGAGTTCCAGGCCAGTTGGGCAACA